TCACATGAATCAACTCGAGAATTCTCAACACTGATCAATGTCTTTTCCATTGTCAATTTTTCTGTCCTTTTTCAATTAAAATAGGTTAATCAGATATCTTCAACTCGACTTCAAACCATTCGGATGAAAATGAAGAATATCAAGATTCATATAGCTATGTAGAGGTCAATATATGAGAAAATTAACATTAAAAGACTAATCATTGGAGGACTTTTAAGATCAAGTGCTACAAATCAAAAATTGAAAAAAGTTTAGATCTGTTTACAAGATTGTTCATTGTTATTTCCTAGTTTTAAACCTTTAAATCTTTTACAAAATCATTATGTGTATTCACACTCATTAAAAGCTTTCTCAACGTAGCAAAGCCTTTGTTTTTTAAGTGGAATTCATGTATCGAGTAGCTGAACAAAGTCAAAAGTCATGTTGACTTTGTCCTTTTAAATCAAGATCTATTGATCAAGTAGATGAACGAGATGATATTGGATCCTCATGTGTAGATGGAGGGTTTGAAAGTATATTCAGTCCTCCAGTGCAAAGAAGAGGACGGTGCTTTATCATATGAAAACTTGCGATGAAAGCAGGTGATTTGTACTCAAAAAATCAAAACTTTACCTTACTGCATGACCGGTGTGGAGCACACGCGTTATCTGTAAAGTTATAAAAGTTACAGCGCGGCTAATGCAAACGAGTGCGAAATTTGCTTGAGTTAAGTAACTTTTTACTTAATGTAGTGTTTGTTACCGCACTTGACCAAGTTAACAACCGCAAACAAGTGTGGATGCTCTAAGTAAATAGCTGTCTATCATGTACATACAGGTCTTCCCAGTTTTTTGCCCATCAAAATAAATAAATCACATGTTATACCACATGTAACTTTTTTGACTTCAAAAGAATTGTCCCAAAAGTTCACTGCATATAATTCTGTAGCTGCTCAGGCAATATTGTTGGAGTTATTTCTTAGTAACAGAAAGGGTGCTACATGCAGTTGAGTTGATGAGATTACACCAACATGTTGAGTCAGTGTATGTAGTCAATCTTCTGAATGCTTTTGTCAATCTGAAAAAAGTTACAGCATGTATTACATCTGAATCACTTATCCTGATGAGCAGATAACTGAGCAGGACTGTATGTACATGATAACCACCTATTCACTGAGCCTGCAAAACATATGTAGTATGGGTGTTATGGCTCAGGTTTGGAGTGATATTATGACAAATCATACTCCCAATCATTTTTTCCTGCCCACTTGGGGAAGTGGAATAATGTTTGAAGTGATGGTATCATGTACCCATTCCTTGAGTCAGTTGATGAAAACATAATGATATGATACCCTAAGTGCAAATATAGGATCTGGATATCTGCCTAAAAACTCAGTTGGCTGCGAGAGGGGACAGAAAAAGCTTGCTGCTCACCAACTGGCCTGTGAAGAGATTGGTCTACAATGCATGTTTTGAATACCCTTAATATCCTCATCTCTTTCTGTTTCAAGATTAAGAGAGCATTAAGGCAGTGCTCAAATATCTCCCTGTTGTAGGCTGATTTCTGATCCCAAGAGGAAATCTCCAATCATTTGGCAAGTTTGTTATCTGAACTGAGCCTCTGCCTCATCTTCTCCCAGGATGTTTGTTCTCTCACTCAAAACACAGAACAAAGTGCTTTGCCCAATCAGATGGCCATCTCCTTGTAGGAGTACTCAAAGTGATACTCATATACTTATAGCTAGTTCAGTCAGTGTTTTAAGCGTTTGAGCAGAACAAATGTTTCAAGAATTGCCTTCTCTCAAAAAGGAAAACAGTTAAGCCTTAAGCTTGCAAGAGACTTACAACATTTCAGTCAAGCGGCTTGGTTCTTGAATATGGTGCTTGCATAGAGTTTTCTAATTGATTTTGAAGTTCAAGCAGGAAACTTATAAATCTTACACCACATGGAAATCATGTACAAAAGCTCTCATTGCATAAAATATTCTTACATTCTATCACTAAGTTCTCCCCAAATGGAAGTTGATGTCTGATTTTTCCAGGTTTCAAGCTCCTCTGTAGCTATCAAGAGTCATACTAGTGATTTTTCAAATTGAATTCCAACCAACACCCATACAGAAGCTGCTATAGCTGTTGATAATTTGAAACAGAAAAAATTGAATTGCTGATGTTTGCACAACTTGTAAATATGTAAGAGACTCCACAACAGTGCCAAGGTTGGGCAGGCTCTTGACAATGTAGAAACATGCAAAATTTCTACAGCGGACCTTGCACAACTGGGATTTAACATTGTCAGCCCTCAGACTTTGAGACTTCAAGAGGGGCTCTCCTTGTGTGCAAACTTGATATGGGCCCCCAATATCATGTGTGATGACCATATAGGTTCTGGGCACAGATTTTAAAAGGAGAGGTGTACCATCTGAGCAAAAAAAAGATAGAAAACAAAAAGAAAACATGATTTCCGGTACTAAAATTTCAATCCCATGCAAGGAACATGGGCTAAGGAAGAGCCTTGGTCTGTTGGAACCTGACCCAATCAGATGAGCTCAGTCTGAGCCTGTTCTAGCTTAGGGGATTACATATATATTTGAAATTCTTTGACTTGATTCCAGTGCCCAAGTATTTGAACCATACATGGACTTGAGTATTGTGATCACAATTTTGGAACTTGATTTCAAAGTGGTAGATCTAGATCATCTACAGTGGTGCCCCACTTGTGCAACCTCTGAAACAGACCCCCGACCTTGATCTTTGGATGTAGGGGGTCATAAACACATGCTCTGCACTGTGGTCCATCTAAACTCTGGGGGCAAAACTTGCTTGAGTAATCCAATATGCTTGAACAATCATGTTTTAAGAGTAACACAGTTGGCTCTGAAAAATTTGATTGTACAAGTGTATCCTCATAGCCATGTATGGTGATTCTGCAGCCATGTCTGCTCTCAAAGAGGGGCTTATGACTTAAACCTTGGGTTTGGCCTGAGCACAGCAGGATTCAATTTTGTGTCAACCCCCTTTTTGAGGGCTCTAAACATTATGCAACCTCACAAAATATGAGAGGAGCTTCTTCTTCATGATCTTCTGTATCTTCTTGTACCAATTTTTGCATCTCTAATGTTATAGGTCACAAGGAAGATGGACTCCGAGATCAAGTGATACTGGATGGTTCAAGTCTGCACATGGCCATGTATTGAATAAGACCTAGATTTACAAGAACACAACAGCTCAACTATTCCACTTTGCTCAAATAAAGTTGTGCTAAAAGTGGCACAAGCATGTGTAGAAGGCTTATAACAGGCTGTGTTCAATTTTATGTGAGGTTGCATAAGCAGAGCCCTCAAAATGGGGGTCACAGCAAAAGTGCTTGAACATCCCGCTGTGCTCAGGCCGGATCTGGGGTTTTAGTCATAAGCCCCTCTTTGAGAGCAGACATGGACATGTTGCAAGAAGGGATCAGTTAAGCTTATATGGATCGTTTTTTTGATTTATCTACAGCTATTCCAAGACTGGTTGATCCAAAAATTGCAGAGAAATGCATCATTGCAGCAGACAAAATGACTGTAACCAGTTTTGCCATTTTCCCCTGGAATTAACTTAGCCACACCTGATGTGCATGTTGGCCATGGAGTGGTTATGTCAACTCTTACTAACCAATGAGAAAGAGATGTCCTCACCCCTAGCCATGAAAGCTAAATAATGATCATAGGGGATTTGGCCACACACATATGGCAAAAGATCTACAGATGAATGGTCACAAGGAGACATGATCTTTGTAAAAGGATCCTCTTTGTTCCATGTTGCTCAACCTTGTGAAAAGAAAAAACTCAGTAAAACCCGAATTACGAGTTTTGCATGGGAGAGAATTTTTGAAAAAATAAATCAACCATTGTTGGAACAGCTGTGATATAAATTTTTAAACCTTTTTTCTGTTAACACTCCAAGGTTAGTACATTCTGAGAACCAGTGCAAGATGAGGCTCCATATGCAAAACTCACCAATCAACATATCACTGATTGTGACTCACAGGTTCTCCATCAACCTTCAGAGTTCCCAGTTCCCAGATTGGATTTGAGTGACAAGAAAACAAAAAGACTAGGCCAAGGCATTGGAAGTTTAGCCAGAGTGATTGAAAGGTACACAGTAGGTGCTGGACCCTACCGCTTCGTTCAAAGTGTAGTTGGTTAGAAAATGAGGATTCAAGGTTTGCTATACTCAAATTCCAATCTCATGCAAGGAATCCAGATTGAGGAATAAGTCCCACATGCCTCAGACATGGGTTTACATACCGGAAACGCATGATTACGGTAACTTCCAATTTTTCCTGTCCTTTGAAGTTCGCAAGGTTGAACAATTGACCACATTCTCAAACTTAACTAAGCTCCTCAACGCTTTAACGAATTGGTTTGAAGTTGATATATATGAAGCCGCCGAGACAAAATGCTGAAGGAACATGTGGAAAGGAAATTTACGTGGAGCACGTTTGACCACGATCTAATTTTCAAGATGCTACCATCAGTCTGGTCCAGCAGCTGTCATAACGATGGTTACCGTGAAGCGATGGCTAAAAGGTTTGAGGCGGCCCAGCAAATGTATGACGACGAGAAATGAAATTCAAATGATTGGATTAGTTGTTTTGGTTTAAGTCTCTCATGAACTGATGCGGGCTTTTGTCGATGAGGTGAATCACGAAGGATGGCTACCAAGTCAACCAAAAATAAACCATTCAAGCTGAGACAAGACCAAGGCCACCTATACTTCTAAACACTTGCGCTTAAATTCACTAGCGTGTTTCCACTCAGCTCAATTCGTTTCGCGATTCAAGATCTTTAATCCAGTCTTTGATCGTTCAAAGCACAACACTTTATATTTTGGCTCGCATACTTCCGCTGGATCGGTCTACCACGTCGTCATACCTGATCTCCCGAGCCTGCAGAGCAAACATCTCAATTCACTTCTAATACTATCGCCCACCAACAAACTAAACAGCTTCGAACTTCATCAACCTCAGCTGCGTTCTTCGAAATGCCCTTTCGATCCTCTTCTCCAATTCATCGCCAAACCAGCTTCGATCAAGACCTCGAAGATGAGGAGGACGCTGAGCTATTGCTACCAGCTCAAGATGGAACTCGTTACAAGCGAATCCAGAAAGTCAAGTACTCGGTGTCTTATATCCTGCTGGCCACTGCTGCTGCTTTCGTGCTTGCTGTGATGATTTGGATTGGGCCAGCATTACCGAACAAAGATCCAACCGGACTTGGAGCTCAATCGCATGCTACCGTCAGCCTCATCAATGACGTTTCCTCAGCTGCCGATAATCTACCTGCCGTTATCTCGGCGTCTTCTTCAGCCAACAACACTCACCGACCCGCGCTCTCAGTCAACAGACCTCCACCTGAGCAACAGCCTCTTCCACCTCATCACTGGAACCCACTTCTCTTCGACCCTTCTCCTCTCACACACATCTCCGTCAAGCCTTGCATGTTTCCTCCTTGGGCTTTTCCCTCATTCTGCGAACCGACCCAGTCGGCAAGGGACAAAGCGTTATACGGCAAATGGGTCCGTGTACCACGTGATCTAAGTAAAGGAGTTGGACATTACTACACGGAGATTTATTATCGACGAATGCAGACAGCCTACGTACCAGGTCATGTCCAAGGTGTTCAGCCTATCACCGGTCTGAGGGTGCTTGAAGATTCTGAAGCACAAACTGAAGAGATGAAGGCCGAACTTGAGCGTGATGGTTGGGAACCAGCAGGCGAAAACATGCGCACTGGTATTTGGCCTGCCAAGATCGAACCTGCCCAACTTTATTTCACTCGATCAACGACTTACAATGGCACCGTACAACCTCGACCGATCATTGAGGTAGACGTAATTTGGGGAAATCCAGCGGAAGCAAAACCTTGGTGGGGCTTCGAGCGTCTCAGTAGCCCGGTCTTCAAGGCCGATAACGCAATGGACAAGATACAATGTGATATTATTGTTCGAAGAGAGAACGTCAAAGCATCGCCTCCACCGAACCTTTTCTTTAACTCAGAAGGGAAATTCAAAATACTTCAAGTCAGTCATCTTTTGCTTTTATTCCTTTTGCTTTCAGCCTATATAGTATCATCGAGTCTGAACTGATTTTCAAATATCCTTCCAACTTCAGATCTCCGACCTTCATCTCAGTGCTTCCGGAGGTACATGCAAAAATGCAGAACTACTACCCTCGTGTGAAAAAGACGGCGCAGATGCATCCACGGTGAAATGGCTTACAAATGTGATGGAGAAACAGAAGCCTGACCTTGTCGTCTTATCAGGTGACCAATTGGACGGTGATGGCAAGACGTTTGATACTCTTTCGACCCTTGTCAAGGTAGGTCATTTGATGGCCGACAAGCAAGTTCCTTGGACTGTGGTGTTTGGAGATCATGATTCCGATAAAGCTCTTGCCAAGGAAGAACAGATGTATGTCTTGAAACGAATGCCATACTTTGTTGGTAAAGCGGGACCGGGTGTTCCAGGTATCGGTGATGAGGGTCTCCCAGAAGTCGATGAATTATCGGACATGGGTGTAGGAAATTATGTGTTGGGTGTCAATGGTAGCCAGACAGATCAAGTTCAGGCCTTGACACTTTACTTCCTCGACTCTCATGTTCGTAGCCCGTTGTCAATCCCACTCGGAGCAACTTGACTGATACCATTTTTCGCCTCCATACAGGATCATCGTCCATTGTCAGTATCTCAACTCTGGAGCATGGCCATGGGAGCTTCTACAGAGTTTGATTGGTTAAAGGAATCCCAAATAGATTGGTACCGAACCCAATCCGAACATCAACCAACCCTTGTACGACCTTACCGCCCAGCCGGAAGTCCGAGCCCTCACCTTACTAAGCTAGTCCGTCGTCAACAAAAACCTCGCAAGATTCGAAAACCTCCAGCTATCATGTTTTTCCATATTCCACTTCCAGAGGCCTATGAAAAGGCAGATAAGAATACCGCGACTGGTGGTGAACTTGTGTATGGTAATCAAAGGCAAGGACCTATGTGCCCAAGTAAAGGTGTGGGATTTTTTGAGCGAGGTGTTTTGAATGTCACCGATGGGGCGGGAGAAACTGAAGTCAAAGTTATTGCAAATGGCCATGCTCACGTATGTCTAATTCCTTAGCTTTTTGGGCTGCATGCTACTTGTACATCTGGTTTCTGACATTAACTTCAATTTTCTTCACAGTTGACTGACACATGTAGAAGACACGATGGAGTTTGGAACTGTTTTGCAGGATCGGCTGGATATGGTGCAGCCGGTGATGCGACGTGGGAGCGACGAGTGAGACTTTTCGAAGTTGAGGAATTCGGAGAAATCATTCGGACATCTACAATCCTAGATGAACGAGCACTAGCAAATCAACCAGATGCTAAATCACAAATCAGTCAATTGGTATTATATGGTACAGGTAGTGCTCCTGGAACCGGAGCAGGAGAACAAATAAATGACAAAACTAAGAAAACTTCTTAAATATTACGCTGTAATTTTGTCTTTTTCTACCCTTTGACCTTTGGAAAATCATTTTCTGTAGATTACTGTTTTGATTTAATACATCTGATTGTTACCTCTCTAATGCATTAAATCTCATTGTCATATCAGATCACCACAAAACCGCAACTTGTTCTCCTAAATTTCATCTTGTTTATAAATATGTTTATAATTATCTGCATACACTACCTCCTCTCTTCTTTGGCAACCAAACAAGATGTTGTCCTCTAGTTTCCATTCACCTATTTTTCTTTCAAGAGAATCATGCAAATTCAAACTAATTATTCGAATTGAGTGTTTTTCGATCCTTTGTATGACGTTTCGCTTCTGTGGGAATTGAAACATGCTCGACCAAATTAATAATCTCTCTTTCTGGAAAAAAAGTTGCTCATCATTGTGTTTGACAGCGGTCAAGCTCATAAAAAGTCAAACAACATGTCAACGTCAATGACATCATGGCCACGTATGGTATGTTTGCTGACAGCTCTTTTTTCTTCAAACGCTCATCAATTTGTAATTCGCATTCGACGCCTGAGCGTCGGGACTTGCCTTGGCACGCGAGAATGGGTCTCGCGAGTCGCCGGTCACACCTGGTCACAGGCGACTGCGGACTATATTTCTGTGGGATCATGACCCATCATCAACTTCCTCTGAAGTAATGAAGGACAGCCTACAGGATAATCTCAGAGAGGAGCAGGATGCTTTCAGATGAAAATAAAAACAATCATGTGATCAATTGTTTACACAGCTCAACAAAACCCTAGGGTTCGAATGAAAGATGTCATGCTATGTTGTACTTTTCTCCTACAACGATTTTTTTTATTTTTCTCAACAAAAGAATTTCACCTTCAAAATACTCAATACCTCTTCACACGCACACTATCAGCTCATTGCAAAATACACTTATTCAATCAAAAGATATCTCGAATGTCCATTTGGAAAGTTAATTCACATCGAAGAGACGATGATGATTTACCCGCATTCAACAAAGCTTGGCTGCCAAATCCAGATCAAGCTTTTCTACCCATGAACCACAAGCAAAACGTACGAGTCAGTAAAACTTCAAATGACTATCCTCAACATAAAGTCTCACATTTCTGTTGTACAGTGATTTGTGAATTTTCTCACAATGGATGTCAGATCAAGAAATAATTCTTGAGGTAAACAAAGAAAAAAACTGGATCTTTCTCTTATGAGTCTCATTGCTTTCAGCTTGAAATTTGACCTTTGATTTTTTCTGATCTTTTTTCAACAACCAGCCTACAGCTTCTTATGCTATCATTACTAGCAAATTCATTTACCCTTCTTTTGTACATGTGGTCGTCATACTTGCACCACTTGTCTCAGGACTGATTAAGCTTAGTGCGGATGCTCAGTCGAGCTTTGAGGTAGAGAAGCGCTGATTGATATCGATAGAATCCGATCAATTTCAGGATGAGGGAGATGTCATGGACTGGATTGATTGGCCAGAAGCACAATGTGAATACCTGCGGCAAGCATTGTTTGGGTGTCTAGACAGTGTGCTTGGTGTTGCTTTCGGAGAGAATCGGAGAAGGTGAGGGCACATTGGTACTACTACCAGCCATCGAGCCTGGTGTCGTATGTCTATCCTCAGAAGGCCAAGGGTGGATCAATTTACATCAAGCACGATTGTGTTGTATGTATAGACAGGCTTGGTGATTAGTTAATGTCTGTGGCAGCAAGTACACCAGTGGAAGGTTAGGAGGAATTTTCGCTTGATTGAAAATCCGGCATCCAGGGAACGCAATCTCTCTGGATCAGGATACATTTTTTCCGAGATCGTCCTACTGAAGTTTGTTCAAGGATAGAGAGCCGGTGATGATCAACTCGACCGAGAGAATAGACAAATTGAGTTTTTCATTTGGGTTTCATGCTCATAGAAACAACTCATATATATATGTGCATTTGAAGTCTATCGAGATGTGGATGAAGAGCAATAATCGGGTTGTTATCAAAGCCACTCGATGAAAATCCCATGATGATAAGAAATTGACAAACGAATGAAGATGTTATTTGTTGAGGGAATAATTTGGTTTGGAGGAATCTGATTTGAAGATAACTACTTATCCTCGGAACTTGATATACAACTGAAATGGTGATCATCATAGTGGCCAAACTGATAAGTGTTTGAGTTGAGAAGCAGGTCGGCCCAGTGTCCACCCGTGAAGCGATTGATTGAGAAATGATGACCGAGGTGCTGTACCCTGTTTGATTTGCAATTCAAGCAAACCAAGTCTATCAGAATCAGATGGCATCCTAAGCCACATATAAAAACACTCAGATTGGTCATCTTTTCCATCAGCTGTTTCTCCTTACTCAGAATCAGACAGACCGAGACGAGTTTTTAGATGGTAAGGTAAGATCCGACTCCTGATCATCATACTTTGACTGTCATCAGGGTCAGTTTCTTTGAATTTACCTGCCGCTCTTTAACCCTTTATCTGCTTTCTTCATCCTTCTTTCCCACCTTTTCCACTCGGTGCCTTTTGCCTCACTCAACTGTGCTGTCATCTCTCCGCAGTTTGGTTGCTTATTCATATCTGCGTGAAATCGAAGCACAAGAAACTTGAAAGTCAAAGTGAAAAGTTTCTTGATCAACTTGACGGGTATTTGCGTGGATCATCAATTCATCGTGCGTCTATCGAGAGGAGAAGTGCTTACCGATCCATTTGTACATACTCTGTATGTAATTATTAGCTGACCGCAGTCCATGGACCATACCCGTAACAGACTCGACCGAGCTCAACTCTCTGCAGTTTTGGGTTTGTCTTTCTTTCTTCAAAACACACTCAAAGATCGCAGTCTCCTCAAGTAAACGTTTTACCAAGAAGACAGATCACATTTCAATCGGTCATCTCTTGAAATCAGTGGGAGCTGAACAGGTCGTGAACAAAGTGAGTCGATTTGGAATTTGAATCTCTGTAAACCACTCTTCCCAGGGCTGTATCACACACTTTTCTCTTTGGACTCTTCCATGCCCTTCGACTCTACAGGAGGTCCATTTTTATCTTGATTTTGTCCCTAATTTCATATGTACATAAATACAACATAAATCGCAGTCAGGGCATAAACCACTTTATTGGCATTTTGGCATTTATAACGTTTATAGGTAGTTCAAAACTCCAATTCTCCTTCATCTCAACTCATTTTCGTCAACTGTGGTTTCACTCTTCTCAATCAAGTGCCCTCTTTTATACTCGTACAACCTCCCTCACCTTGCTGTTCTATCTCTATTTGTTTCCTCTCTTGATTCATCTCACCTCATTCTCGGTATCACTATTCAGTCTATCAGTGTGCCTGGCAGTCTGAAGTGATCACATCCATCAGAGCTCTTTACTTTTATCGATTCCACTATTTCGTTCTTTACCTTTTTTAAATTACACGATCATCCAGCTCGAACTGACCTGCCCTTTGCTTCGCTTTGACCTGGTGACGCTGTCTTCAACTCGATTACGATTTTAAAAAACATCATCAGAAACAAGCACTCACGAAACATCACAGAAAGGCCCTCAGCAATCCAAAACAATATCAGAATACGACCGCGAGAATCGAGAACCGAATCGAAGTCTATTACCAGCTGCAGTATCTGCTGTTCCTTGAATCCGATTGGTTTCGAGCTAGTGAAACCATCAAGGACTGTCACTGCCTTTCCGTTCCTGGTCAGTATCTTGATTCACATTTCTCTCTACTTGCGGTCAACCCAACCCACCGGATCCAGATCCGTCTTGTCGTTTGAACGTTATTGGTTACTGTCTCTTCTGCTCATCCTTCAGCTTCAGTCATCTCTGGCTGCAAGTGTTTCGAGTAGAGTATTGGTCGGATCGGGTCACTGACTCTCATTTGATTATCCACCTTCATCCATCCATTCCTCCTGTGACTCCGTTCCCTTTGCCTGGTGTTACTCGCACTTCATCTCTACCCCCTTTTATCTTACACATAAATATCTCCACTCCCCCCTCGTCGCTCGACACACCTTCAAAACCCCATCCCCTGTTCAATCTTCTGCACTTGACTTCTTCACCTGCAGTGGTCCTTTCTCCGGCTTTCGTCACATCTCTCTCTGGCGGTTTAGACAGTCATGTACTCTCATCATCCGCCTGATCAACAGGACGACTCATTAAATCCTACAAACCGCAACACCTATACTTCTGAGTACTCCGACGATTCCCGAATCGAATCTTATATGGACGCCGGTGGTAGCCGAAATGCATCAGCTGCTCCTGCTAGACGCGCTGATGAAATGAAGAACCTTCACTCATTACCCACCGTCCCTACATCCGAAAACTTCAGCTCTTTTGGTGGCTTCAATGCTTACGCCCCTAGGAACGATCCATCTGGTGGCGGTGCCATGGGTATGAGCGAACCTGGAAGCCCCATGATGGCTCAACCAGATGATCTAGATCGGCATTCGGTCGAGTCGCATTCAAGCGGGGACCGCACGAAAGTAGAGTCTCGGTCACCCAGTGCTCATCGAATGAATCATCCGGCTGGCAAGGATGGCAGTGCTGAGAGTGGTTACGGAAACCCTCATCGAGAGGTGAGCTTTTCAATCATATCATTGTTCCTGATATTTTCCAGGTACTAACTTGCTTCTTTCTTAGTCTGATGGGTACGATGTCTATACGAACGGCCAACCGAGCCAGTCAGGCTATATGCCTACTGACGCATTCTCGCCATCCTCTCAATCCTATGGACGATACCGTCAAGGTGCTTACAATGCCGATGGGCTTGAATCTGGACGAGCCTCTACCATTGGAACCGATGCCGGGTTTGTACCTGGTCTACCCTATAATTCCTCGCGTACAGCGCTCAATCACGAGTGGCGAACAAGCGATAATGGAAGTCATGATGGTGGTAATTACGTCGATGAGAAATACGCGCAAGGGAATTACCCGACGAAGGAGATCACTGAAGACCTTAAAGGCCCCAGACCCTCTTATGTTCCCATCCCCCCCTCCAGCCCCGCCATGGATGAGAAAAAAGCACCCGCCGCCCCTGCTGAGGGTATTGTCAGTCCACCTCCTGTTGTAGTCAGTCGACAGAATCGTTTGGAGTGGATCGACGGCATTCGAGGCTTGGCTTCATTGGTGATCTTCACTCATCACTACAGCGATCTTACTTGGGCTCAATCTCACCCTGACACCCTTAGCCAAGGTAGTGTTGAAGGTCTCCTACGAAATGGTCAACTGGCTGTCGGCATGTATTTCCTTCTCGGTGGTCGTGTTCTAGCGCATTCCTTCTTGAGATCGGCTTTCACTCGTCCCATTGTTCCCAAAGACTCGCATGGAACACCGATCCCCGGTGCAGTCGCTGCCAAGTGGACCGGTCCTAGATGGTTGTCTCTTTCTTCTTCTCTGTTTCGCCGATCGATCCGTCTTGCGTTCCCAGCTATTGTCGTAGGTTTTATCCAATGGCAAATTGCTTCAACTGGCATTCTCGGTCAAAAACCCATCCAAGCTGCACAGATTCTAGCACCCTCCTCTCTATGGGAACCTACCTGGAATCAAATCGGCTCCTTCTGGGGATTCCTGCAATTCTGTCTTGATCTCTTCACAAATCGAGGACATCAATACATGCTAAGTGTCGGCTCAGCTCTCTGGACGACATACGATCAGTTCTGGGGTTCCGTCCTCGTCTACATCCTTGCTGCTGTCGTTGCCCAAGTTGCCTGGGTTGGTCGTTACATGATCTATTTTGTTGTCTGCGTCGCTCTTTGGTTTGTCAACAGTCCGAATATGCTTTATGTTTTGGGACTGTGGCTTGGTGACCTACACGCTGCTGGTTTCATCCGCAAGCTGCAAGATCACTGGAAACCGACTATGCTGGTCGAACTTGCTGTCATGGCTCTTGCTCTTGCGATGATCGCTGGAGGAACCAACGTTGCTACTCCCGCCAACAACGCTATGGGCGACATCACGGTTTACGATGGGAAGTTCGGATGGGATCAGAGTCTTACCTGGCCACAGTATATGTTTATGTCAAATTGGCTTCCACCACTCTGTATCCTGGCCTGGGTCGAAATCAGTCACGCCATGCAATGGTTTGCTAGTTGGGGTGTCTTCACTTGGCTTGGCAAAGTATCTTACGGATTTTACTTGATGCAATTCATCACTCTTTACAGCATCATGCCTCCGTTAATCATCTATTTCAACTCTATGGGACGTAGCTATTGGGATATGGTCATGCCTACCTACATCATCTGTTTGCTTTTCAACATCTTCATTGCCTGGGTAGGATATCATGTACTTGATCGTATCGGCCTCAAACTCGGTAAATGGATCTGGGACGGACTGTTTGTTAGTAAACCGAGCACCGCTGGAGCTTTACCAGCCAAGATGGTACGGGCTCTCGGAAACGCAATCCTTACTGCCCCCGGCAATACTGTCCGCTATATCGGTACTACTTCTGTCACCAAGTACAAGGCCACCCGCAAAGGTCTCCATACCATCATGAACTGGCGGACACCCACCACTCGACCTCCGATTCCAGACCCCACTGATCCTGATGTGATCAGTCAACTTCATTCGACCCGATGGACTTCCGATATGAGTCGTGATGCCGAGGCGGTTCGGACTGCTAAGCTTCTTACTTTTCAACAGTACACTTGGATGATCCATATCGTCGTGATTCCTCTGGTGACCACCGTGTGGATCATTTATCACCCAACAGGAACCTGGACATACGATGCCTTTACAGTAAGTTTATTTACAGTTTACCATCAATCATCGACGTGTATCCAATGCTAATTCCGTTCTTTTTCTTACCAGTTCTCTACTTTGTGGAGATTTTTGTGGGTTATGTCGGTACCCAACTGTCTCTTTGCTTTTGCTGGTTTCTGTACCCCCGATCTCGCACCCAGCCAAGCAACGATGGACAAGAAGCCAGTTATGAGAGAGTATATCCGGAACTTCTTCATTCTACTTGTCACTAAGGGGTCTAATGAGAATGCAGTAAGACGTGGTTACAACAAGTTATTGCTCTTGGAGAAGTATCATCCAGCTGGTTAGTAACTTGTCTGTTTTTGTCACCATCTTTGTAAGAGGTTCCGCAACGTCTAACAATCCATTATTTGATGCAGTGAAAGTCATCGTCCTTACCGATGAACCGTACGTGTATCCCGACTTGCAAAACATCGTCTGTCCCAAAGCGTATGTATCGCCGTTGGGTAAAGCCAAATACAAAGCTCGAGCCTTGGACTACTTCCGGTACCATGTATCTCTCGGAGTTTACGATTGGATCTTACACATGGACGAAGAATCAGTAACTGACGGTGAGAGTTTACGACGTTGTTTGGAATTCATCAGATATGTGAGTGTTGCCTTGAAGATTTGAGGGATCTTCGACAGAGAGTTGACAAAGCTCTGATGTGTACACCAGACACCGCATCATTTCGGTCAAGGAATCATTCTTTATAACGGTGAAGGTTATTGGGAAAACTGGTACTTCACCGTTGCTGATGGAATCCGTGTGGGAGATGATTTGGCTCGATTTCATTTTCAAAATACCTGCATTCACCGACCGGTCTTTGGTGTCCATGGTTCGTTCTTGATGACTAATGGGGAGATGGAGAATGAATGTACCTGGGATTTTGGCTCGTGAGTTTTGCATCCGTTACTGCACTTTGGACCGAGAAGACAGCTGCTAAGTCAAATGTGTCCTTGTAGACTTGCGGAAGATTTCGAATTCTCTCAAGACGCCTGGAGAAGAGGGTTCACTTGTGGGCGTGTGCATGGGATCGTGCGTGAACAGTCGCCTACCACACTTCGTGATTTCTTGAAACAACGTCGACGTTGGTTCATGGGCATTCGAGACATTGAAGGATTGTAAGTCATAGGAAGACGAGAGGGTCCTTGCTCTCCCATCTGGCGCAGAACACACATTGACGTCACTCTTTGATCGAATAGATACGGATTACCACATTTAGCTGTCAACTTATGGATCGTCGGTGTCTTTACACTTGCCGTCACAGTCATCAACATACCTTTCTTGTTGATCGATAAATCATTGACACCACTCTGGATCGCTACGTGTGCCGATTTCTGCTTCGTGACTTTCTATTGGCTATACCTTTGGGGATTACTATTCCAAGAATTGGACTACGGCCAAAAATGGTGGAGAATCATGATCCATATTCCTTGTGCAGTTGTGATCCAACCGTTTGCATCTATCGCCGAAGGTTTGTCAGCTATCTGGGCTATGAGCTCCGTCGACTTCGGGAAGTTTGAGGTCATTGTCAAGTATGTCGATATCACCTTTTCTGCTCTATGGGTGTTGAATATTGACATCACCTTTGTTTTTAGGAAATGATTGTGTTATGTGTGTTTTCCTCTCGTTAGCATGGGTGAAAGGTGTAGAGCTTGATTAATCATGACCAGTGGACACATCTTATGTATTTTTGTTATACGTATGCGTACCTTGTCCTTCTCGTTCTTTTGAGAAAGATAATCAGTGCAGTCAGTAGTACAAACAAGAATTGAAATATCTTGGACAAATCACTACCATTAATCTCATGGTGTTGACGTTTATTTTTTTTGTTAGAAATCATCCTTTTTTTAGAACTGGCTTTGAGAAATTTATATCTTCAATCCTCTTATTACTCTTTTTTCAAAGTTGTTTCAGAAAAAGTTAAATCTTTTTACTTCTTTGCTTTGTCATTGCTTTAGCGTTTTATATTTTATTCTATTGATATCATTCTATCCTTTTTATCCTAATATTTTCGCTCGGTAAGAGAGAGAGGACATTTTCAAGACATGAGCCTTTTGCTTCACATCAAATCAGGACTCGTGGTATTTGAGCTCGGTCCTAGCCAAACATTTTGTGCAGGGTTCCTTGGTTCCTTAGGAGTTGAGCTTGGCACGGAAGATGCTTGCAACCTTTTATGACGATTGCCTCTCCAGTAATAGTCAGTTAACAAAAACACTTGAACACTCAACCGAAACTTCAACTGTCGAGAGAAGTTGAATATCTGTGGTACAAATGAGTGACATAAACTAATCGCCAATAAACTTGTCTTTTAAGACAATTTCAACTATCAACTCTCTTGACACAAACTCAACAGAACTGGCCCAATTTTGCCGGTTGTCTTCAATGACAGCCAAGAATCTCTTGAAACAAACTTTAATCCTAATGTTGACCTCAAGATTGAAGGAATGCACAAAACCTATCTGGAGTCAGATCAGAGTCAGATACAAAGGTAGATATTTTGTACAATATCATAGCAAGAGATGTTTGAGTATTGGAACCTACAACATATGACTCATCATTAGGCTTCATAGACTTTGCTTGCTTTGGTGGTATAATCATGGGTAATTGTTTTGAAAAACATCAAGTGAGAGAGCTTTGGCATCTTCACTTATATGACCCATTTAAACTGGGCAATGGCAGCTGGATAGTAAGTTTGATGAAGGGTTTCAAAGATGTTTGTTCATTCCTGTTCATATCTAATGTTTCAAAGCCTTGAAGCTTTACTTGCTTTTGGTGTGGCAAAGGCCATGACATATATTTTGCCCTACTCTGAATGCCACTTCCCTGTGGGGTCAAGGGTGATTTACCTCAAAGCCACATGTTCAAGAGCCATGGAGTTTTGAAGTTCTCTGTGTTCAGTACTTCATATAATTGACCTGTTCATCATCCAACACGATCCTCTTGACAAGGATATATTGCTCCTGCTCCTAGGTATGGTAAGTTCTATGTTGAAGGAATTCCAGTAAGCTTTCCTCAAAAAATATAAGTGTCTGGAACTGGAAGTAAGCAAGCCAAACTGCACGTTTCTACCATTTTTGAGACGGTCCATGGTTGTTATGATTTTGGACTTGTTGAGATGATCCCAAAGCATTTTTATAGCTTCACAAGCTTTACAAAGACCTGTCTTTGAGATCGGGTTGTAGTTCAGCTTGGATGCTGTTTTTTTTGCATCCAGAAGTTCAGAACTGCAGTTTTGGTTTTGAAACTACAGTTTAATTTAAATTGTTTTGTTGAATTTGATCTGAAAACACACAAAGCACACTCAGACTCTCACTGACTCACACTGACTCTGACTCAACACACCAAGCTCAAGAAACCTCAAGTATTCTCAACTAAATCCTTATCATTGTATCCACTTCAAACAACTTCAATATCAATCGGATTTCAAAACCAGACCAACTGGACGGTGACTGACCTCGAATCCAATCATAAGTTGTGGTCGAGAGATAAAACTACATCAAATCAAGCATCATGCTACAAGAAGATATGTTCTCATCAGTAGCATGGGACACACCAGCAACCGAAGAACCAAGCGAAGCGAGTACAAAGACGTACAAGAATCATGAAACAAAAGAAACTACATTTGAAGATGACACCGATGAAAACTTGACACATTTATTAAGTTCAAGTATGCCACTTGGATCTGATCGTAATTCATATTCACCAAGGAAATCAACAGAAGAAGAAGACGAATCATCATCGTCTTTGAGAAGAAGAAGATCTACTGGAGAACTTTCTTCACCATCTATACCTCTTAGAGAAGGATATTTAGATGTAGAAGTTAAACATCCAGTTCGTGAACTTGAAGGAACTAAGGATACTTTTGTTTCGTATTTGGTAACAGCTAAGGTACGATTTTGGTTTTATCATTACTAGAAATCTTTGAGTTCTTTTGGATTTGATTAAGACTCATGTTTTTTTTTGTTTTTTATTCGATCCTTTTTTTTTTGCTTATGTTCACTCGATATAGACTGATATTCCAATTTATCAATCCAAGTCTCCATCTGCAAGAAGGAGGTTTCAAGACTTTGTATTTCTTCATGATCATCTTGTTAAAGACTTTCCTGCTGCTGTCGTACCTCCACTACCAGACAAATCTAGATTGAGTATGTACCTCTGATACCATTCCCTAATCTCTGTGTTTTGGTATCTATAACTGATTTGTTTACCTTATTTTTCCAATTTGATTGTGTTTTATAGAGTATGTCACTGGCGATCGGTTTAGTGCAGACTTTGTTGAAAGACGTAGACATGGGTAAGACCCAATCCCAATACCTAACCGCTAAAAACCAACACTTGATCTAAACTTTCATGATTTTTGATAGCTTAGAAAGATTTCTACAAAGATTAGCTAGACATCCGATCTTATCAAGATCAAGATTATTACGATGTTTTATCGAATCGACTCAATGGAATGTAGATATGCATACTCATTTGGCACATCCACCTACGTCTGAACCTACTAGTTCTTTATTAGAGATGGCTTCAGATACGTTATTGAATGCGTTTTCGAAAGTTAGGAAACCGGACGAACGGTTTCTTGAGATTCGTGAAGGGTTAGATCGGTTTGAAGAAAGACTTGGAGCTATTGAAAGGATTGAAGGAAGGTCTAGGAATCGGATCACTGGTACGTTTGATGAAGTGTGAAAGTAGAGTGACATTTTTTTTTATTTCTAGAGTCTTGGTTTGTTTTTTGAGATTTTCAACTCTATGTAAAACTCATGACTATATCTTTTTACTTCTTTGTGATTTGGTTTCAAAACTTTTTGATCAATAGATTTGGCTGGTGATTATGAAGAATTAGCTGCATCTGTTCAAGGACTTGGGTTTCTTGAGTCTGGTATCACTGAACCTTTATCAAGATTTGAAACCGCTTTACTCGATTACAGTATTGGTCTAAGAGACTTAGTAAGTAGATTACGCACTCAATATCTCTTTTAACTAATGTATGTCAAAAAAGACTAAGAAAATGATATGTTGGTTTTTTTCCCTAGAACACAGCGACTACTACCCCATTACTTCATAAATTAGTTTCACTTATTCATTATTCAGATAGTTTTAGAAACGTATTAAAATTAAGGGATCAAAAACAATTAGATTTCGAAGATCTTTCAGCATATCTATCTAACATTAGTAATGAACGAGATCGAATTGCAGCAGGATATGGAGGATTAGGTTTAAGTTCATATTTGAAAGATAAGATTGAACTTTTTAGAGGTTCTGAAGCTGATACGAGTCGAGAAGCTAAGATTCATAGATTAGATAGTAAGATTAAAGATGTAAGTTTGAATGGATTGAATTTCTTGTTTGGGTAGAAGAAAGGAAGAACCCGGAAAGAGAAGAATTGAAACTGATTTGATTTGATTTTATTGGAATAGCTTCAAGATGCAGTGACTGCTGCACATGAAACGTCAGATGGATTTAATGAAGAAGTTTTGAAAGAACATTCGATCTTTCAATCTGGTAAAAGACAAGAATTAAAAGAACTTTTTTCGGATTTGGCTGATGGGAATATTGCAATGTATAAGAAATCTATACAAGATTGGGAAAATATGATACCTTTTGTAAGTTGAGAATTTATTCTTGTCTTTTTTTTGAGAGAGATTTGGATTTGCATAGATTTGAAAAGGTTTTGGTTTTGGTTTTGATTGGATTTGTTTAGTTTGAACGGATTCGAGTTGATACATAGGGGTTTGGGTATCTTGTTTGAATTTCGATAGTTTATAAAGAATTATTATATACAAAAGAACTTCAAAAGACAAAAGATAAGAAGGACACCCCAAAAAACTATGTATAAGAAATCTTCAAAAAGAAAAAAGAAAAAGAAATCACTTTATATTCCTTTTCTTAAGTTCTTTTGTTCGTTTGTTAAAAGTTAAAAGTTTATTCAAAAATATTTTTTTCCTCTTAGTGAATTGATTTATTCTTTATGTGTGTTTTATTTTTATGTTTGTTTGTGAGATTTTTTTTCCAAAGTTGACTATTACTATATATATTATTTGGCATTGGTTTTTATTTGTTTGGTTTGGTTGAATTGTTTTATTTAGTTTTTTGATTATATAATACAAAATTATATGCTGGTCTTGTGGACATGTGTGTTTATATCTATGACGAGGTTAGATTTGCTTTGAGAGATCCCTCAGTGATCTTGCGTCACGGTCTATGGAAAGAGTCTAACTTCGGCTTGTCATCAGGCTGGAGGTATAGATGTTCAAGTGGTTGGGGAGGTCCTTCGAGAGAAGAGACTACCATTACGGCACTGGAATGGCAATTGTCTGGTATTTTATCATGGAATCATACTTTTTTTATTACGTACTATTGGTGAACAAATTGAAGATTGAGGATATATAAAACGAACAAAGGCGAATATGTAGACAAATCTGATTTGAACAAATAGAAAAGAGATTATAATCAAACTATTTATGAAGTTTTTGTTTTGAATCGAATTGACACAACTTGATCGGGGAAACCAACTGGGGAAAAAGTAAAGAGCTAGGTTTTTGATTTGATTACCAAATTGCTTTTTCAAATCCCATCCATTTATCTCTAGTTGCTTTTAATTTAAGTTGATGCTATTTCAACCAAAAAAAGAAAACAAGTGTTAGATTAGATTTGGGTTTGAATTCGAATGTATGAAAAAAGAAAACTGACTCTACAAAGTCCTAGTTTAGCAATCACACCACGACCTTTACCTGAAACTATACAACGTTCATGAATTTTAGTTGGATGAGAATTTGAAGGTAAATTATTTAAAGATAATTGAGCTTGAGCTCTAATCTTTTTGAACGGAAAAGATCGAAAATATAAATCAATTGATTGATTGTTTTTGGTGATAAGAGTTAGAGACATACTTTGACTGGTAAGGTTTCGTTTCTTGATACGTATAGATAAGCTTTTCTTAGTACTTCAGTTTTTTCGAATTCTTCACGTCTTGCTATGTCTCTTAATGTTCTAATGTTGATGGGTGATCTCATTTTGTGGATTTGGTTGAGTTTGATGGTTCGATGGTAAGAAGTCTTCAAGTTTGGGTGGGTAACAGTACAGCTAGAAGTAGTAGTAGGATCGGACCGGGTCAGCTCGTCGGACTGTATTCTCATTCAGGATGCCATCATGAGTTGATCGGAAATGTGAATTGCATCAACTCATCAAGAAAAGATGTTAAGTCTGATTACTTCAAGGAACTATTCATTCACAAAACCATTCATCTCATCATCATCATTCAAATCAAAACCAATCATTAAAAGATCATTCTATTCATCCAACAAGAATCTTAAACCAGTCTCATTAGCTTTTGATCATTTCTTACCAACTGGTGAATTACAATCAGATCAAATCATCAAGAAATCAATTATTGAAGATCCTATTATCATCTTACATGGTTTATTCGGTTCACGTCAGAATTGGAGAACTTTAGCTAAAAGGATCTCTCAGAATACCAATCGTGAAGTATTTGTTTTAGTTGAGTTTGAGAAAAAAAATGATTCATCAAATAGTTTATTCTTACTTATGGGTTTTGGGTTTTTGGTTTTTTTTTTCGGGTTAGGATCAAAGGAATCATGGTGAAAGTCCTGCTACGATTGGAAACACAACTTATGATGATTACGCTTCTGATATTGAAGCCTTTATTAATGAAAACCAACTAAAGAATGTGAATTTAATTGGTCATTCAATGTAAGTTAAATTCGTTTAAAAAAGTTGAAAACAAATTCATGACAACTTATCATTTGATTTTTTTTGTTGAATTTTCCTTTCTAAAGGGGTGGTAAAGTAGCCATGACAGTAGCTTTGAATCCTAATGGTTCAACTACGATTAAGAAATTAATCGTTGTGGATATTTCTCCAATGAAAGGAAAAATTTCAGATGAATTTAAAACTTATTTAAATGGAATGAAAGAAATTAATTTAAGGAAAGTTGGAACGAGAAAAGAAGCAGATGAAATTTTAAGTCGATTTGAAAAAGTGAATTTTATAAAACTATCAATAACTTGGTTTTTTGTAAAACTGATGATTTTTGATTGATTGGTGACTTTTTTTTTTTAGGAAATCGAGATTCGTCAATTCCTTTTAACTAATTTAAAAAAACTTAATCATCAATATCAAATCCAATTATCACTAGAAGCTTTAACCCAACAAATCACAAGTAATGAAGTAGGAGATTTTCCATACGATCTGACTACTAATCCAACACCAATTTCTACATATCAAAACCCTACTATGTTTATTAAAGGTAAATCATCTAAATATATTAATCGTCATTCATTGGATCCTATGAAGAAATTGTTTCCTAATCATCAACTTATCGAATTTGATGTTGGTCATTGGGGTAAGTTTATAGTGTTCTGCTCTTTTTTTGAATGATCGTTTGAGAATTGAATGTGGGTTTTTTTGGTTTGGTTTTTTAGTTCATGCTCAAAAACCAAAAGAGTTTCTTGAAAGTGTAACTGAATTTATTAATAAATCATCAACTTGAATTTATTAAAATTCGATTTATAGACTTGATGAACCTAAATCAAGAATTGTAGAACAACAAAGCCTTGTATACTGAAAGATTTATAATTCCTTATGAATTGAATGATGCACTTTTACATGTTTTGGTTTCTGACCAGAAATAAAAAGAAATCTTGAAGGATTCGACTGATTATTAGTTAACAATCATCGGATCACTTTCGATTTAATGATGCTAATGGGTTTCGACAGATTCTCAAGTTGGACTTTTTTCACTTTTTTAAATTAATTTTACATACACATGCTTAATAAACTTGATAATGATAATGATAATGATACACATAATCTCTTCTCAACAAATAATATTACACTTTAAAATTAAAAAATGTTTTTTTTTGTATACTGAAGGCTCAAGGTATTAAGATTTCACTTTTTAATTGAGTGTTGAAAATAGAATGTTATTTTAATAATGTTGACCAGCAAAATAACTTGGGATATTACCAATCAATCTTCCTTTTCTTTTAAAAGATTGTATTCCATTAATACAGATCTTAAGTTTAGGAGATTTTTGAAGAGTTTTATTTCGAATTTGACATTTTTTACCTATCAATCAGAATAATTTGTCAAGTTGATCAAAAAAAAATCGACATCATTTTTATTAATCAATAGAATAATCTCTTACCTAAAAAAGGATGAGGTTTAATTGATTGTTTTGAAATTGTAGACATAGATTTGGATGATATTGAATTCTTAAAATCAATTAAAGATTGATCACTAGATAATCTGGTTAATTTTTTATTTTTACTTGGTGATGATATTGAGTTTATTCCTAAAGATGACCATATTGAATCATTCGAATTTGGTGGGTTTGTCATAAGATGAGTTGATGGATCATATCTAGGTGTTATAGGTGGGGTTTCAGGTGCAAGGATCGAACTAGGAGACGTCTTCGATTCTTCTCCATTTGAAGATGAGACACTAGTGTAGCTTTGGATAAGGTTTTCTTCATGAACTTCATGGGCTTTGGGTCGTTGAGCTAGTGATGAGTCGAGTGTTGATGATTCGAGTATCGGAAGACGATTAGGCAGTAATGAGGAATCACTAGATTGAGTCTCAGCAACACGTTCAGTATCCTTATCATCTTTATGTACCCTGGCATCGGGAGTGATATATGTGGTGGCACCATCTACTTTATCTTCCGAGACTTCAGAATCTGAAAAGATAGATATATCTCTTATTTCGTTCTGTTCAGCAATATGTAACGCATCAGGAATACCAGAAACCTGATCAACTGTATCATTCGGCCGATAATTCTCTAGAAAAGGACTGATTTCTCTCGTGAAAGACTTGGTCGGTTCAGAAACAAAATTTTTTTGACATTCTTCAGTATCGATTCTCGCCTTGATTTCTGATTTGATGATGGTCCATTTTTTTTCAGGTGGAACAGTCAAACTTGTTGCTTTATTTGACGTAAAGGTACGATGGTTTGAAAAGAATTGTTGGACGGAAGAAATATCACTTAAGTGATGAAGTAATTGTCCAAAATAAGATTGAGTATGGTTCAACTTTGAAGGTTTGGGTTCTGTTGAGGACATTAGAAACATGGAAAGAGATTAGCGTTCGGGTAATAAGAGGATTTGAACTCTTTATGGTGTGAAAGGATAAACTTCCTTACCAGATTGTGATACTTGACTATGGTTTGAAGTTACGTTCGAAAGTGAAAGCGGAACGGCCAGGGTGGAGGATTGAGCTGGGTTTTTGTGTGTTGATATCTCGGAGAGATGACGAGGAGTGGGTTGGAGTGATCTCTCAACTTGAAAATCTACATGCCTAGCTAAGGGGATATCATCTGATGAAGGAATAGACACAGAGCAACCATTGACATTGTTGCATTCATCGGGAAGTTTTATATTCTTGGCCACTTGTTGCTCCATCTCCGTGCTTATATTGGCAAGGCTTACAGGTGAGGTGATCTGGACGGGAGAAGCGGTTGAAGTTGCAAGTATCTGATCGTCGCGGATTGTCGATGGTCTGGTGAGACTGGACGTGACTTTAAGTTGTCTCTTGTTCAAAGAATCGGCTGATTCAAGTTGAGATTTTTTAACATTACTGTCGCCAATGAATCTGAGTGGCTTTGGACATCGCATCAAGACTGAGCCTCCACGTCGTGGCCGCACGTTCTTACACTTTGGCAAGATCACGGGATTTTTTTTCAAACGCGTCAAAGCATTGAATCTTCCCCTTGGAGCTGATTTGTTGGAGATGGATTTATGGCTTTGTATTGAGGAAAAAACAAACAGATATCAGAATTTTTTTTGGGACACATTGAATGGAAAGTAGAATACGCTGACTCAGCACGTCGTCTTGTAGGTTCTTGAGGAAAGGCTTGGGAAGTCATTTTGAGACATGGAAATTGTGATCTGGTTCGGAGGTTAGTAAGCTTAACATGACCCCAATTATACCTTTCTTCGCGATAGAAAGCGAGTGGTGCAAGAGTTTGTAGATAAGTATAATCTTTTGAACTGAGAGAGAGTTTTGAGATTGGAATCAGTTCTTTGTGTGGTACTAAAGTCACTGGTACGGTGTGTCGCATTAAACCTTGATGAAGTATAGGTTGCGAGATTTGTTCATCATTTGGTTGTTGGTCTTGTGAAGATGAATTTAATACCTCTGGTTCCGGACGATGATGAGCACCCACCGACGCTGCAGGAGGCCTTCTGATGCCTAATGAACTAAACCGTAATAATCGGCGCTTTAAGGGTTTTGAAGTAAGCCTTTCACTATCAAATGACTTTGACTTCATGCGTTTTGCGCTCGCTTTTCTCGTAGGAGCCTGTGACGGTCCTGAGGGGACATACAATTCCAATGTGTCGATGCTCAATCTCCAGAGAAGGACAATGGAGCTCAAGCAGTATACTTACGCTTGGCACTTGTTGTGTTGCTTTGAGATATCTGGTTGCATAAGCGGAGATCGAATCAGTATAAGTTCTTCATTATCAGGATCATTGATCACGTCCAGACTATCTCTTCAGAATGTTTGAAAATATGTTACAAGCTCTAAACAATTCCATCAAAGGGTGTCAACGGCGTTGAAGGCGTATGAGACATATCCTATCTTGAAAAGCCAGCATTTTGCAATGTAGAAGAAAATAGACAGACAGAGAAGTAAAGGTCTTGCCATAATTGTCCTACTCACCTGTTCATGAGTATCTTGACGATTCAGTGACTCATGGTGGTGTTCTTCATAAGAAAGTCCCATGGGTATGATCCTACGTCTTTGTCTTTGTTTGAATGTATCGAACGGTTCATCGATTTCCATTTCTTGAGAATGCTGGTCTGAATCTTTGATGATTCTTGATTACCTTTATATGATATCACTGGTCAATTAGAGATGACATCAAGTGCCGCATACATCGAGTTCACAAGAGATGCGGTACCGAGTCATACATGGTCATTGGTCATCAACTAAATTGATAACCAAATGAAATGTTTGATTACCCAGAATTCGCCAGCAATGATATGATCGATAGCTTGAAGATATCATTGGCTAATCCGAGTCGACTGAACACTTGGAGAGAACGGTCAATGAGAGAAGGTGAGGGTGTTTTACTTTCTTTCTCTCCCTGACTCGGAGTCTCGTCTTTACTCTTGGGTCTATGTATAGTGATCCTGACTCTCTTTAGACCAGTCGATCAGCCTAGAGTCTACATAGAGGAACGCATCGCAAGCTGGTTTCGAGCTTCGAAGTCAGCATTTGTTATCTCGATGTGGAGCTTGATGAAAAAACAATGTGCGGTGATCGAGATCGCCAACTGCCTTGTATCTCGCATCCAAGCGGCCGGCCGGTGAGTCCACGCAATGCCTTCCGCACCCCCTTACAGCTCGTGAAATCGACCTTTTTCTGAGAGAGGGACTTTTTCAATTTACCTTTTTCATACAGGCCGCTTGCACCAAACTTCAAGTGCTGAGGAGGACTGTGTATTAAGAGCTACATGTTTCCCCGTTCGGATCAACAACATGTTTGTTCGTCGACACCAGGGCTCAACAAATGGTAAGGGGCCAATCCGATATGGATCAAAACATCATTTTGGCGTCAAAACGAGGTCAATCGACGTCTAGGTTGCTGGAGGAAGGGCAACCGTTGTTTGCAAACTTCAAGACTTCAAAATTATATCCAGGTAATGCATCCGCTTCCCCCTGATTATTGCCTCGCCGGTCCACATTCAAATCATGAACAGACGTGATCTATCGGGCACCATAACGGAATCTACTATGGCTAAGAGCGGTGCCACATATGATAGTCACCCTTCTTTGGATGAACAGTCCCTTCATTATCCATATCATTATTCATTTTTGTAGGGAATTGAATTCCACCGAGCGAGACAATTGTATCCTTTTGGCAGTGCCACAAACCAAGAATAATTGGAAGCCGCCGTGTACTTTGCAAGTACATCGCTCTTCTACTTCGGTCGATAATCTCAAGGACCCGCTTTCACCATTAAATCAAGATTCCTCCATTTTGGGCATCGCCTCCATCCCTGATAACGGTGTCTTTCGAATAAACAGGATTGCAACGGGTCGTGACGACGAGTCCCTGATATTTCCGAGCTGCATAAAAGGTAAACACTTTTCCTGCCTCCTTCGCGGTGCTGGAGTTCCTTTGATTTACAGATTACGGTTTTATTCACATGTTCCTTCATACTCATACCTTCTCTTCTTTCATATATTAAAGCATAATAATAAGATATTGGCAGGTGATTTTTGCAGGTTGGCCGACTTACGTTCATAATATCACCGGACAAGCTAAAGGCAAGGTACCTGCGCAAATGATCAGGTCGACTCTGCTGGCCATCTTCCTTTTTGTCAACAGAACACTTGCAGATGTGATTCCTGATCCCTCGCCGCCTGGGATATCTTTTCGTCACCAAAGAAATTTTGGGTCGAACAACGCACGCCAGCCTCTGTTTTGGGGAAGGGAAAGAAGATTTTCAATCCAAAGCAAAGCGAAATCGGATCATGTCAGTGCGACTGGAAGACTGTCACCCCCGTTATCCACTCTGAGACCTCAAGATCAAAAGGGCGATGTACCATCCAACGTCCTCTCATACGGTAAAGATCTCGAAGGTGGTTTACCTCGGCTCTCAATCATCCGACACACCAATGAAAGACAGAGCTTCCTATCTGGGCACGTACATAACAGGTTCGACATACCTCCAAAACGTACTGAAAGCAAACTGTTCGCTTTTATAACTGGCAAGCTGCTAGGACTCGTCCATCGATGGCCATCCTCGTCGTATCACAGTAAAAGAGATCCTATACGAGAGGTCCAGGATACCAAGGACCCGAACATTCATCGTTTCCGGAAGCGATCACTCGACTTGTACTCAGGGGATCTTCCCAGAGGTTCTACAGAGAAACCCGATGTTCTTACTGAAGACATTCATACAAAACATCGAATGAAGCCCTCACAGTCCGATAGACATCCTTTTAATGATCACTCCGACACTGACGCAAAGCTCTCTGAAGCATTGGAATTTACCTACAGCCAACCTTTAAGCTTATCTCAGCTAAGCTCCGTCTCATCAGAAGAACAGAAGACCTTCACTCTACCTCTCTATCGACCCAAGACGTTTAATTATGACGACGATGTCCACCCACAGATTCGATTCCAACAGCATTTAAATCACGCATTGCAAAGGCACGCAAATTTCTTGAACACGTCGCTCGATGATGCGGAACTGGTGGAAAATATGCGAAAGAGAGTGGAGAGCTTGTCACTACCTTTCGATCAATCAAGTCTCCGTCGAAGAGATCATCCACTACCACTTGCACAAGTCAAGCCAAATGGCTTTCCTGAATCGTCTTTTCATGCGTTAAATAATTCGACTATTACTACTGCCGATCATCCGACCGCTAAAAACTCGATAGGGCTTAGCATCGAAGCTAATGATGTTGGCTACTTGGCCGAAATTTACATCGGAACTCCTCCCAAGAAATTCAGAGTCATCCTCGATTCAGGCTCAGCTGATACATGGGTTATGGTCAGAATCATTCAATCTTTCAGCTTACTATACACATGGCGTAGCTGAATGATGCCTTGCTTTTGTCTGCGCATGGGTCTCTTTTAGCTTCCACAGTGCCGAAATTCAAAAAACCCGGCTCTGGGATGTAATCACCCAGCTTTGAATGTCGATTCCAGTACCCTTCATATTACTGACACCAAATTTAACGTTAGCTACGGTGTGTCATATTTCAATTTGAGCCTAGTATGATCTAATCTTCAACTGATACTTTTACCAAATGTTGGAAAAGGTACCGGAAATGTTCAAGGGTTGCTTGTGCAAGAAGACATCACCATTGGAGGTCTGCTGCTCCAACATCACACTTTTGGTGGCGTCACTTCAGCAAGCAATGAATTTGCTGGTTCAACTATGTCGGTTTTTCTTCGAATATGTCTTGAAAGTTGGACCGCTCGTTGATAGAATACTTTTGAGTTATAGCCCATTCGATGGTTTGATGGGAACTGCTAAAAGTTCCCTATCCAGTCAAAAAGTCATAACGCCGATCGAAGCCATGGCCAAAGCTGGAATTATTTCTGGAGCGTTCATTGGTTATTCCTTGGGTCGAGTCTCTGACAATCAAAACATAGGTGTGTTTACGTCATTATAATCATTCAACAAGGAGATTTGAGTTGAATCTCGATGATCGCATTATTGCAATATGTAGGTCAGGCGACCTTTGGTGGCGTGGATCAGACCAAATTCTCGGGGAATCTCACTATGTTTCCTAATGTCAACAAAAAGGGATTTTGGGAAGGAGAAATGGCGAGCATCATGGTAGATGGTCAAGTCGTACTAAGACAGAGAACAGGAATCCTCGATACTGGCACCACTTTGATCGTCGCGCCCCCAGCTGACGCTCAAGCATTACACGCCCATATACCTGGGGCATCGAGCGATGGAAAAGGAGGATTTTTTATTCCTTGCACCAGCAAAGCCAAGGTAGCATTAAGTTTTGGTGGAGTTCCGTTCGAAATCAATCCGGTGGACTTGACCTTTCAACCCACAACGACCGATTTATCTGCAAATTGTATCAGTGCAATCAGTTCAGGTACAGTTGGAGGACCTAATCAATGGTTGCTTGGTGATACATTTCTGAAAGTCAGTCTTCCAAGTTCTTACTATCAGATTCCCTTAAAGCCCAACTTTGTCGTATCACTCAACCCGCATCATCTTTTTGGCACCATCTTTTGTTGTTAGAATGTGTATTTTGCGACCGATGCAACCCACGATGAGATGGGAATGGCGGCTCTCAAAAAGGTCTCTTCTAAAGGATAAGTAGTATTGTAGTCAATCTCCAAGAAATTAATAGTCATCTGTAATTGTAAATCTGTTGATGTACTATGTGACTTGTATCCCTTTACAACGGCCTAATCCGCCCTGGTGGCTCCTCCAGTCTTTTTCGTTTTCACGATTTAAGAACCTGTTTGTATCAATGTAACATTCTTTGAAACTAAACCAAGTAATCTACTCGTACCTCAACATATCCTACTGTGAGCCTTTAGGACAAGATGCATGGTGCCATTTGCCTTGCAACATTATCACATCAAGCATCCACACAGTCACTTATAATAGATAGACAAATATGGAAATCCTTCAAACGTGACCTGCACAGTATATCCAAGTTGAGACAAGTTGACTTTTGAACCCTGCATGTTCTACTCAAGGCTCTCTGAATATACTGTTGTGCCTTTGGGCAGCTGTAACATGAAAATGTGAAGAGATTTTCAATGCAACATTTTCCCTTGTATGTGTTGGGAGAAACTTACCCTACTCTAGGGTTAAGTTTCCACATAACCACAGTCCAATACAGTGTGCCTTTGGGTACTGTCAACCATCAAACTTTGAATGGTTGAATTGACAATTCAGAGGTGGCTTTTGAGGTGGAATATCCTCCTATATCCTCTGCACATCTTGACTTCAAACCAAATCCTACACAGCAATTATGGATTTAAGCATCCTGGGTCCAGGAAATAATGTGATGCCTTGATAGGCTAGACAACCTTATGCCTGAAACAGCTAAATGAAGACATGAGTAGTTTCAATCATCCCCAGTCCTGGTTTACTTTAAGTCACTGATTTAATTTATTTGGTTGTGATTGATAACTAGATGGACACCATGAACAAAAATCTCACTTGATCTAGTGGCCATTGTGCCAACTTCAATCAACAACATGAAAGAGCTAATGCCCAACACAAGCAAGACAAGTTGCCTCCCTTCAAGGCCCTCTTATCCGGACATGGGATATGCTGGGGTATTTGTGCTGAGCAATGGGACCTTATGTGGGAGGCTTGGGATGTAAGTTTTCTATCAATACTCAGAAACTTTTATTGTGAAGTGATGTGCTGACCAAAGAAATTTATTCTGCAGTTGATTGATGGAGTGGTGAAGGAGGATTTAGCTGATGTCCACTGCAAGAGGGGCCATGCAAGAAAGGATGATAAGAAGCATGGTTACTTGAAAGCAGTAGTTTTTCAGCTGCATATTGGCAAGCAATGAGAGATATGCTTGATATTCTCACTGTAAGTCTTTCAACATCAAAACTTCAAATTCTATACTGACTCCTGGATATCTACCTCATAGCCTTACAAGATATTAACTTGTGAGATGGAAGGCAATATATCTACAGGGTGTATGGTGCTGGTAAAGTATGTACAGGTTAATTTGTCCATGTACAATCAATTGAAGACAATGCGCTTGAATTTCCCTCTTTACCCAATGGTTGACATCATGCTAGAGAAGATCAAACTGTATCTTGAAGAGGCACTCACCTGTGATACCTTAGGTCTTGCCGCTGTTTTTCACCCCAGGTTACATGTGCAATTCTTTTCTTGTGCCTTTAGAGAGGGCTCTCCTGAACACATCCAAGCCAATGCCTCACTGCAAGTATCATTCACATCCAAGTGTGAGCATCAAGCAGCTGAAGCTCAAGACTCACTGGAACCAGTCACCACCTCTTCAGTACAAGGTGATCTGCCTCCCAAAATGTTCTCTCCAGATTTCTTTGAGTTCTATAATGAAGTTTCAACCAAAAATAACCTCAACAAGCTTGAGCAATACATTCAAGGAATTTATCCAATGAAATCACTGAATGTCAACAATCCTCAACATGATTTGGATTGGTGGAGGGTAAGTGTGAGGAGTATGTGCCTGTTTGGCGTACTCTGCACTAAGAATTTGGTGATAAAGGTAAAGCACATCCTTCATGTGATACACCCAAGTGAAGACTAGAGCTAGTTGACCTCTAAGAAGAGGATTTAAGGAAGAGAGAAAGAGATCAAGGGCAATAAAGAGCTAGTATGCTCTAACCTTGTGAGACTGCAAGGGGCAGGATTTACACTTTTGCAAACCAAAGATCCTGAAGGCTAATTTAGACTCCGGCTAAGGGAGGAAGCTTTGCTGCTTTGCAGTTTATTTTTAGAGGATATGATGGTCCAAGGCTTGTAGAAATCAATACCGGGGTGTTCAGCAATGGAACCTGTAATGCTCAAGTTTGGTCTTTGGACTACACAACTAATCATGTACTCAAGGATCCTCTGAATAGGATTTCAAGTATAATGTGATTCTGAGTTGTGATGTGTTAAAAAGATGGGGGATGAATCAAGGGAAGAAGGGGGGTTTATATATTCACAGTTCAAGTGTCAACTTGTGGTTGGCGTGTGATTCTTGTCTCACTTGTGGTTGACGCTTGGGTTAGGTTTGTTACGTATTTAATACATCATGTACATGTGTTTATGTGTCTCTTGACACTGAGCCTTGAGATGTACTTATGGATTTATACAATGATATAATATTACCTGTGTTACTGTTAGCCTGTGGTCCTGTAATTAGGGCTCAGGGCTGACAGTAAGTCCAATTCTTCTTTGCAACATTGTCATTCATTATGATCACCTTACTGATCATCATTGCTTCACAGTGTCATGGGGGTGAATATTCTGTTCTATCTGTATTAGCTTGACCTTGCAAATCCAGCAGTGCCATCTTCCCCAGAGAGATCATTCTCAGTGGCTAGCGGGATTTGCACTGACAAGCAAGGTGGATTGAAGCCTTAAATGACTGAAATGTTGGTCTGTAGTACATTATGGATGGGTGAAGATACCCCTCTGACTAAGGATTCTGCAGAGGTTGGCAAGGTAATTGATTTTGCCAAGAAGGAAGTCATGAAGAAAGTCAGAAAGAAATATCATTGAGATTTTCTTGGTCTCTTTCCCTAATCAAGATTTTTCTTTTTTCCTTTCTCTTATATCTTTTTCCTTTTAATTACAATTGATTACAACATTGCTTAACATTTTCTTGGCACTCCTTTAAATCACAAGTTATTTTTCTATTATTTTTCATGTTTGGCACAAAAATATATATCTTGGCCTGTAACACCAAGAGGCACTGTGAATAAAAATTACACTATGAGCTACCATCTTTGCACAAAGAACTTTGTCAACTACTGCTAGAGCTACCAAGCTTAGAGCATTCACTATCATGGGGGTGATTTATTGTAAATTTTGTGTTCCTGAGCACAAAATTTAATCATGTGTGTTTTACCTAAGTTGATGTAACCACATGAAATCCACTATGGAATGATGTAACCACTGTAACATATGATTCAACTACAATAAATCACTGTGAATCAAACAGATCCACAGTGGTATGATTTTGAAATGAAATACCTTATCTCTCATAACTTTCATCCAAAAAATCCATGAAATGTCTGCCACAAGTTCTTTGAAAAGAAAACTCAATGTCCTTTTGAAGTCTTCAAATGACAATGATGAGCAGCAGGATTATGACCAACTGGTCTTTGACTGCCTCTTCAACAGGCTCCCTCCACCTCTCTAACACCCTCATACTTCTATACACATAGATCAAGACTGTGTTGCTTGTGGTCAGCAACTCTTTTGATTTGGAGTGTGATGTCTTGATGCTGACTTTCAAGGATGAATTTTGAAGTTCAAACTTTGAAGTTGAGGTTTTGAGGGTTGAAATTTGAGATTTAAAGCCTTCAAGTGTGAAGTTTTGAAGTTTGAAGTCTTGAAAAATGCAGTTTGGACGGATTGGATGCATCAAGTCTTATGATAAATCAACTCGCAGGCTTGCTTAGATTTGAACAAGCGGGGTGCAAGACTTGACGCAGTTGTACGGACGTCTGTATTTTACACCACGGGTCAGTGCTGATATCAATTTGAGGTCATCTTCCCCAATGTCCATTTGATATTGATTTGATATCAATTTGATATACAAATTGTCAATATCAATTTTATGTCGGTATCACCAGCCCTCACCAGCCCCAGCAGGTGTGAGGAACGCCAGAGCTCTGTTGACTGTTACGTTGTTCATTAGCCCTTTCTCGGCGTTGATTGAAGTCGGCCCGGTGACCGCTGGATCGTGTGAGCTTTTCTGGTAAGATGGAGTGCTTCATCTTCAGCTCTGAATACTCAGCTGGTAGTAAAGAAGCCTTGAATTCATCGCTATACATATCGGCGGGGAGATGGGTAGTTGGTAACTTGCTTATTAACAGATGGGAATGTGGATATCTTGGTTCGTAATTTACATACATACATGTGCTAACAGGTCAGATATGTTTTCCCTTTAGGTGGTTTACAGATATGATGTCAAATCTTGTTTAACTTTCCACTCACCGTTTTCATTCCCATCGTCATTCCATTATCAACTTTCTCTATCTTCTTTTACTCTATTATCATCTATTCAGACAGTTTTTTAAAGAAGAGAAGTTCACTCACTCATCCAAATAATCGTTATCTCAAAAAATTAATCTCTGCTAACAAAAAGAACTCTATGAGTGATCATGGCAGTTTTGACTTTGTTGCTGCAGCAGTGGTTACCAAAAAGTTGGCAGCCTTATCAGCTGAATATGAAACAGCTGGAGGTTCCAACGGTAAATTGATGTCTCAAGTTTGATTGGCCTATGCTGAAATTGTTCCATATTCATCGAAAAATTGGTTTAAACAATGGTCAAAATTTGCATCAGATCTTATTGAAAAAGACAGACTTGCAGACCGGCCAATCTATCAGAATGAAGGGCCCATTCCTACTAGACCCCTTACATCTAATGAGGAACAGGTTTATGTCTTTGACCTTAATTCAAATCCAACATTCCCGGCCAATGTTGATAGGAGTAACAGATCATCTCCTCAAAGAAGTAATAGAAATGAAGTCCAAATCCTTACTCAAGAGCTAATTAACAATGCTCAAAAAGCGCATGACATGTTGGACGGTCAACGATTGCACCGGTCTAAATCTCCTTCCCCTTTTGTTTCTAAAA